CACCTGCTCAGTCTCAATCCTTACCTTAATCCTAATCTGACCCTCGTTGTAATCCTAACTCCAAACTAAATCCTGAACCTGCAAAATGCAACACAGCTCCACGCCTCAAACAAATGTCCCCACAAGTGTAGCTGAACCCGGTCCACGAGGACACACACTCCGTGTTCCATTTGCAGCCGATACTTTTATCTCAGGCCTTTTTGCAACACCCAGCGTTGACGGACCAAAGTCCAAACCCTTATCTGCTCCGATGCCGCTCCGGTGGCGCTGAGTTCCAGTCTGTCAGTCTGACTGACTGTCTGTCTGCGTGACACACTAACTGACTGTCTCTCTGTCATTTTAACAGGCTGCGTCTCCTGTCATCCGGAAACTGACTGTTATTTTACAGTTTTGGTCCAACTGACTCACCATCTTTTTACGGATCAAACTGTGGTCCTCTACTGTCGCTCAGTGAATTCATCAACTTTCGAGTTAGAAAAAGGCTGAATAAGAAAAAAAAAACCAAACAAATAAACAATAATAATAATAATAATAATAATAATAATAAATTGGTTAAACATCGTCTTTTAATAATATTGATTTTTTTATCCTTTTATTATTAACATTTAAAACTGCACTTTTCTGAAGTGGTTATCGTTCACAGGTAAATCAGACTGTTATGACTGCGAATAAATATTGTCTTTTGGACTCAGATTGGTCTTCATTCATAGCGACTGTATTGTCCTGTCGTACCTGTCTCACTGTTTGTCTGTGAGCCTTTTTTGTTTTACAGCGTTCGGTCAACTGTCAAACTCCCTCTCTGTAGCTGCTTCACAACCAGGCGGTTGAATGACAGTCGCCCCTTGTCTTTTCATTCAACTGCAGCCACTTTTATAAGTTTTTTAAAAATTATTATTATTATTTCAATAATGTTCTCATAACGTTACCAAGGCTGCAAACAAAACAAAACAAAAAAACATGGCCATAAAAATATGCTTTTAACACAATATTTATAAGGCTCAGATCTTAACAAACAAATAGACGGAGTGCGTTGTCATCTGTCATCCTTTTAATTATCTTTTTTTCCCTTTTTAAAAAAAAGAAAAATGGAGCGTATCGCCTGAGGGCTGAACTGAAAGTGTTCCCTGCCTCCTCTCCCTGTCTAACTCACCTCAGTCTCCCCTTCTTTCCCTCCCTCTCCTCAGGCAATAACTAGTGTAAACAGAACATCCACCTAACAGGATCCAGGATGCACTGCTTCATTTGCATTGCACATCTTGGAAACCAGCTCCACCCGTTCTCTCTTTGTTTTCTTTTGTTCTTTTCCTGTTCATTATTATTATTTTTATTTTATTTTATTTTATTTTATTTTATTTGTTTTTCATCTTTTTTTTACATTTTTTAAAAATTCTTTCTTTCTTTCTTTCTTTCCTTCTTTCTTTCTTCCTTCCTTTCTTTTACCTTCAGATGACATATAACTGTCTAAAAAGTGACATGGTTTCACAGATATAAATGGTTTTCCTGCATCAGGCTCCTTCTGTTCTGCAGTTGTCACATTTGTCATCGGTGTGCAGCCGGAGGCGGCTGTCATCAGGTGCTCAACGAAGTGAAGAGAGAAACAGAGAACTACAGTATGAAGATCAGCGTTTTTGGCCCCCCCGCTGACCTGCTGACCTGTGTATTTAACTGTGTTTCAAGTGGCTTTCACACCATGGCAGCCTTCTGCTAATTATGCAAACAGCAATTTGATCTTATCTCTAACATCAAAACATTAAACACCTCCATGAGTCGATTTGAATATTTAAAAATCTACTCAAAGGAAAACTGAATTGAAATCAGGAGAAGTGAATGCTGATTACAGGGGTGGGAGAAAAAAACAAACCAGAAAACAGTCTTAGATAACCCACTGCACTGTAGCTCTTATGTAAATCTTACGCCGGCTGCTTCGATGGGTCGTCTCCTCAGGAGTTATTGTGAGACGTCACATTCATTTTCATGCTCTGTGTCCAGTGTCTACTCTGGCTTAGGTTCAAAAGTCAAAAAAGAGAGTCTAGATGTGTCTGTAAATCTGGTCCATGGTGCAGCTCGACTTTACCCCGGCTGTTACCCCAGCTGTTACCTCCACTAACCCAACAGAAACACATAAGCAGCAGTGCTTATTTTACAGCACTAATTCTGCGTCGACCGACGTGTTCACATGCGTCTGCATCTGTAGCGAGAGGGCATTGGTTTGATATGGGTATATTGTATGGCTTCCACGTGGTTCCCATTTGCCCCCTAGGGGTAATTTGCATTGGCCTGTCACCAACCTAAGCACACTGTGATGGGTGGAGCTTTTCAGCCCATTTTTACCGCCAGTGTAAAGTGAAGAAAATTGTTTTCAGACTCAGCAGGTGTCCGTACCTGGCGTTCGTCTACTTTTAGCCGTTTGATTGGAGTCTCAGTGACCAGATCTTTGACTTGTGATCCTGCTGTGTGTCATTTATGAGACCCGCCTGGACACAGGCGAAAGACGTGTTTTATTTCCACTGTTATCACCGTAATGTGTTCTACATACCGCTGGACTGTGACTACTCAGCGTAGTGTGTGTGTTCACTTTTTACCCTTGTACTTGGTCTTTAACACGGCAAAATGAGTAATGCTGGGCTGGTACACACCCAGAGAATGTAGCCTTAAATGCACTTCATCGCATGGGTTCCACGTACAAACACAGGCCTGGTCAGGAGTTTTTCCTGACTTAGTTAAATCAAAGGACAACAACAACAACAACAACAACAAAAAACATGTCTTACCTCCTCTATTTTTATAACAAATTTTTAAATCTGAATGGAGGAAGAGACAGGAAGAGACAGAAGATGGATGGATGGATAGATGGATAGATGGATGGATGGATGGATAGATGGATAGATAGATAGATAGATAGAAAGAATTCTTAGCACAAAAACAACACAGGAAGTAGCGTTCCGTTGGAACAAATAATCTCAGAAACTCTCTTCAGAGAGGCTGTTATCAGCTGTGTCTGTATCTCTTCCAAAAGTCTTGCATTGAGAAACTGGGTCAGTCGACGGTTACAGATTACAACTGGAAGGTTACAAATGTAGGGGTCATTCTTAAGATTTTTTTTTTTGTTTCAATCTTTCTTTGTGCCTGAATCTGTTCCCTTCTTCCTCCTGTAAACCTCAGGCTGCGGTACGTTATCGGGGCAGAGAGCCTAATCTGTTGAAGCTCATGAGAAGCCTGAACTGAATGCGACTCCTATCAGAGCGGTCACATGATTCTAGCTGGGGGGGGGGTTCACAGTGAGATTTCAGAGTCAGCCAGGTTAGTCCTACCTGGTGCGTGTGTGTAGCTGCTGGGACCATATCAGACGGGTGTGCACCTATCTTATCAGACCAACTGCTCTAAGGAGACTATTGTGTTGGCTCGGTGACGAACGGCCTCAGAGCTTCACTACAGTAAACCAGTTTTTTTTTAACGTGAGGGAGAACTTATTTTTGAGGTTCAGCTTGTTGAAAGTGTTGACGTTGATTTCATTGGATTAAGCTTGAAAAAATAATAAAATAAAAACATTTTGTGCTACAGCAGTTTTTATGTAAATGACCAAGCCGTACACCTCAGTGGTTGAAACGTGGTTCAAAAGAGCTGATGCGTTCAGGGTGTTGCATCTCGTTAATTTCTGAAGCCTCGAGGCTCGTTCCTAACTGGGATTAACATGAAAGAGAAGACAAGACGGTGACAAATACGTGACAACTTCTACCATCACATGGCCAGGTTGAACGGAAACAGACAGACAGGCAGAGAGGTGAAAGCTGCACGCTAGCTTCGAAATTCTATTTTTTATTTTTTATTTTTATGTTTCTATAAATGTAAACATAAAGCATGTTTTACAAGTTTAACGTTTATTCATGGATCGGTGCCTGAGCTGGTTCTGTAAACCTTCAGACCTAGAAGTGAAACACTCTGCCTCACGTTTGTTTCAGTATTTGCTCCTTTTTTACTGATAGTTGTTCCAGTTCAGGGTCACAGGGAGGTCGGTGGGTTTTGGCGTGACGTGGGTTGTGCCGTGCTGCGTGCAGGCGTGTGTGTGTGTGAACGCGTGAGATGCTCACTGTGCACTGTACGCTGTGTGGAGGCCTGTTTCAGGGGTCTCAGTGTTTAGTCTACCAGTCCTGCAGGTCACACACCGCAGTCATTTGGTCAGGAGCTGCTTCAACAACACACTGCTGGACCAGCACCTTGACAGACAGGTGAAAAAATGGAGGCCGGGGGTTGATTGACAGTTAGATGTGAGGTGTCAGAGTCCCGTCAATAACACAAGTGACAGTCGGGATGCAAAAGAACTCATAAAACACTTCAAGTCAAACCAGCTGCGTAGTTGCCACCGAGGTGTACTGAGCATGGCGCCATCTATGGTGATGGGTTAAACACAGAGGTCACACTTCGTTGTGTGCAGCAGTGTCACTGTGTCACAATGACCAGAATTCACTTTCATGTCACTCATTCAGTTTCACTAATTTCATTCATAACAAAAGGCCGGTGTTAGCAGCTGCAAAAACAATGACTGAACAAAGTAACTGCTAACATTATGACGGTGTTGTTGTCACAGTTAGAGAACAGCTCTCTTCTTACCATTGTCTTGCTTCTACCACACTTCTAGGATTGTAACCACCCACCGACTACAGACATCAGTACTGTCTGTCGTCTCTAAAGGCAGATTTTTTAGATAGGGAGTTGTTTGATTTAAAATAAATGCTGAAAATATGACCTTAAAAATACATGTTTGTAATTCTTTTATTTATTTTAGAGCAGCGACAAGTTATTGTTACGTTAATCCATTTATGCCATTTTTTTTTGTTTTAATTTTAAGTCTTTTTTTATATGTTAAACTGTCTCTCACTGGCTCTGTTACACAACCAGACAAACCACAGCCAGCCATTCACAGTTATCTATAAAATACTGACTGTAAATTATTTCTTCCTCCATTCGTGGTTTAGTGAAAAAACGACAACATGCACCACATCTCCCCAATTTTTTGCCTTTTTAATAAGAAGTATGAAACATAAATCATTTAAATCATATTTCAACAAACAACAGGAAGAGAAACAATATATTATATCAGCACACTTTCAAAGTTTGGAAAACAAACAAAAAAAAAAAAACACCGCTTAAATAAAAGACACTTCTCTTTGGAAATAAAATATGCTCCACAGAGGAGATCATGTGACCTGAAAGTTCTGTACCCTCTGCTGTGTAATCCTTCAATCAATCAATCAATCATCAGTTCATTGATCTCTCATCAGATCAGCAGACGCTTGAAGAAGAAAATGAGCTGACAGGACAGTGAAGGGACATTGTTCCACTGTGTCCACTGAGCTGATGCATTGACAGTGTAAGGGTTGTCCTTAAGTATTGTTGTAACACACACAGGCACACGCACACACTCACACACACACGCTCACACACACACACACACTATCAGCCCACCTGAACAGTGGGAGCTCCATAGTGCAAAGTACTGTATGTAAATTCTCCCATAGTGCATCTCTCCACCCCTCCACTGTTTTAGTAACTGACTCAACTCCCCCTCCTGCACCTCTCCAACAACCTGTCCTTATGTTACAGCCTGTGTGAAAGCAGCCAACATTCCAGCCAATGCTTTCATATTAGTAACAACATGAAATGACTACGGGCCACAAAACAGAACATATTCTTTTAACAAAACATAATTTTTTTATCTTTTCTTTTTTTTTTTACCACAGATACCAGACCTCCTTCCCTTTGCCTGACAACATTTCTCAGTCCAGAATTTAAAAAAAAGTATTTTTTTCTTCATATTTAACAAAACTACAAATCTTTTTATTTTTTAGAACAGACTTCATTAGCTACATTTATAATGACGGATGACTGATGCGACAGAAATGACAAAACACACACACAAAAATAAAATAAAATAAAATGCTGTAACAAAAAAATGCACTAAACTGCCACGAGCTGCAGTAACATCTGCCTGGAGCAATAACCTGAAACTCATCATCACGTCTCCGTCTGGAAAAAACGAACTCACATTTCTGTTGTAACTGGTCGAAAGAGAGCTTACACTAGATATATTAAAATTTATTCCCTTCATAAATAAATGCAAGTATTCCTTTTCCCCCGACACATTGGCTCTATTTACATTTTATACAAGCGCAAACTCTTCAGCGGAGGACCTTCCTGCAGTGAATGGATGGTACAACTGTGTTGACTATCCATCAGAACTGGTTCAATTAAACAAAAACAGACAAACTTCTTTGGCCTTTCAAACAACAGCGTGTTGTGTTGTTTGTAAAGGTAAATATCTTTCAATGCCACTGCCTTTGACTCAGAAAATAAGAGAAAAAGAAAAAGGAGAAGGAAACTAAAAAGAGAGAATTTGGGAGTCCATTTTAGAAAACACAGAGGAAAAGTCTCCATCTTGACTCACCGACAGACAGAGGTGCATGTGTGCGTGTGTACGTGCATGCCTGTGTCCCTGTGTGGTTGTATTTGTGTGTGTGTGTGTGTCCAGATTAGGAGGCATTGAGCACAGAGCGACTGTAGAGAGTTTGGTAATAAGCACCAGAGTCCATGACCGCTGGACCAGGACTGTCGTAGATCTGCTTGGCTGTCACGGGAGAAGTCCCGGAGAAGCTGTTGTAGGCCATCACCTGGTCCTGGTAGGACTTGAGGTCCATCTTCTGCTCATTGGACATCAGGTTGGTAATGGAGAAGGGGTGGTTGAAGTTATAGTGGGGGTCCAAAGACTTGAGGGTATCGCTCTGTAGGTCCATGTGCTGCTGCATGGTGCTGGGCAGAAGGTGAGTACTGCTTGCTAAGGCCTGGGAATGAAGGAGGGAGTTGGCAGAGATGGAAGAGGAAGTGGCAGAAAGGGAGAGAGGGGATGGTGAGATGGAAGATGAGGTGGAGGAGGATGGTGGCAGAGAGATGGGGGGGCTGTGGAGGTGCGAGGACGACATCGTTGGGCGATCTAATGGAACCAGAGAGTTTCTGGGATGCGGCTGGTCTTCTGATGAGCCCAGATGGGAGTTGTCTGAGTGTCCAGAGTCTGGCCCATCTGGTCCAGTGGGGCTGTGGTCCTCCCCCAGGTGATCTCCACCGTTGCTCCCTTTGGCGGAGGACACATCTTGATTCTTGTGTCCTTTCTTTGCTGCTTTCTCTTCAATCTTGAAGCGCTTCTGTCGCCTCAGGTAGCAGCCGTTCTCGAACATATTGCCCGATGCTGGGTGCAGAGTCCAGTAGGAGCCTTTGCCCGGCTTATCTGGTGAGCGTGCAACCTTCACGAAGCAGTCGTTGAAAGACAGCGAGTGGCGAATTGAATTTTGCCAGCGCTGCTGGTTCTCACGGTAGTAAGGGAACAAGTCCATGATCCACTGGTAGATCTCATTCAGGGTGAGCATCTTGCTTCCGCTCTGCTGAATAGCCATGGTGATAAGGGAGATGTACGAATATGGCGGTTTGGCGTGGGTCAGGGAACGCCGATACGGTTTTGTGGGGATCTCCTTTGGCCCAGCACGGTTGAGGCTCCCACTTGAGGGGTAGGCCAGTTGGCCCATGGACTGCCCCATGTTCTGATAGTGTGACAGGGAGCCCAGTGAGCTGGGTGCTGAGGGGCCCAGCTGAGTGAGAGAGCTTGAGTTGAGGGATGAGGTCACAGGGGAGAGAGACATGTGACTGGGCCCAGACCCCATGGAGGCCAGTGTTGAACTGCTGAGAGAGGAGCTGGGGTATGCCATGTTCATACCTGCTGGAGAAACAGAGGCTGGGTTCAGGTTGATGTAGCTGTTGATGGTGCCCATGGTACCCATGGAGCCCAGACCAGAGTTCATGGAGCCTGTAGAGGAATACATCTGTGTGGGAAAGAGGAAAGAAACGCTTGGTTACGAAATGAATCAAACATGTCTTGTATAAAATATAGTTTGTATTTCAATGTATATTTAATAAAGGTTAGGGATACTTTGATAAGGAGTTAATAGATGTTTTCATGATTAACTTTATTATTATTATTGAGATAAATGTGAAAAGGACGCAGGTTAACGTTTAAAAAAGCTTAGTCCTTATCAATGCACAATGAAGCTCTCAGTGAGTGTCGAGAAGACATGGATTTCACACTGCCATGTTAGACCTGAAAATGCGTAAAAAGCGCGTCACGGTGCCTCTCGGCTCAGACGGCCTCCTCCACCGCGTTCTCAAAAAAAAAAAAAAAAAAAACGGACAGAAGAAGGGTGGATTCATTTGATCTACCTCCGCTCAAAGAGTATTTTTGTTTTCTACTTTTATACGGCTCGGGAAAAAAATATTTTTTATAAATTATATCCTGTGGGACAGAAGACAGGAGCTGACTGTCTGACCGCGCACTGATCTTTGGTTAAATATTATCTCACGCTTTCAAGTTCCTAATTTCATCAGGTCGAAGTGAGGTGAGAACTGGAGCTGTTGATAGAATTAAGTCTGAGGACGTTGGTGTGGCGTTCAGGGCCTCACCTGAAATGTAATGTCCACAGGAAAAAAAAAGGTCCAGTGATGGAAAAAACCCAGCAAAGCTGTGCAAGTGTATGGGAACTGAATGTTCACGAGTTGTTGTTTTTTTAGATATATTTTATATTTACTTATAATCATTGAGTGTTGTTTTAATACTTTATAAATGATTGCTGTCTAAATATCTTACTTAACGATACCCTTTCTTGAAATTTGGCTCGACTGTTTTTCTCTTTACATCATATTATTTAAAATACGCTTTGCTATTTTTGTGGCTACTACGGTTAATATTAATAACCTATATCTACTAATGTTTTTGTTTTGTAAACTCTTAATAATCTTTATTTGTAATACACTCCATTTCAAAGTGTGTCTATTTTTTCCGGGATTATTAGACTTCCGCAACTCAAACATGAAAACTTTATAACTAAATGTAACGTGATGCTATTGTGTCTGTAAATGTGTCTTTACCTCGCTGGCCTCGCTGTAGAAAGTATTCCACTCTGGCAGATCATGCGATTCCATCTTCACAGAGCTCAACATCCCCGACTCAAATCTCCAGAGGATGAAAACGTGTCTGTGAGCCGTAGAGCTTTAAAAAAATAAATGAAAAAAAAAATAACCTCGAAATAAAGTAAAATCCGTCGTAGAGCTCGGTGTCGTCAGACGAAAAGAGACAAGCATCAACTTATCTCCTTTGACCAAAATAAATGAAAAAAAAACACCTTCAGTTTAAGGTCTGAGTCTAAAAAAGTTTTCCTCGAGTAGCAGTGAAGTAAAGTCAATATTTTCTTTTTTTATAATTATTATTTGTCACTCATCCATTGTTTCATAACCCTATTGGTTGTGGCTGAGCCGATGTTGACTTCGATCCGGTTCTTCAGTCAGTACCGGGCCTGAGAGGCAGGCGTAGCTGAGTGCGCAAATACAGTGAAGAAACTTGGCCGTCCTCTTCTTATAGCAGCCGTCAGGGCCCGCCCCGCTCATGTCGTTTGAATTCAGGAAGGGCCACAGCTAAAAGGCCGATATGGCCCCCTGGTGTGCTGTATATTGGCCCGGCGGCTGCGCCCGGGGCCACCCGGATCAGTGTCTCTGCGGCGGTCCTTATCCTGGAGCAGGACAAGCCGTTGTATTTATTCATTTATTTATTTATGGAATTATTTGTCTTCAAAACGTTGAAAATTAAAATCTATTTATTCTAAAAGTTCATAAGATTAACCTGTTACCATCAGATGTTTGGTTTACGAATATAAATGCAGCACAAACAACAACATTCAATGATGACAATTGTTAAATGTGTTTTACCTTCTATTTAAATTATTATTTATTCAATTTTATTTTTAAATAGAAAATGCATGTATACGGTGGTTTGTGAGTGTAAACGACCACTGTTTGTGTGATGACAGCAGTCAACGTTATTAATTCCATCGGCCACCACGTTTGAAGGACCTCAAATTCACCGAAGGAAAAAACTGTAACAAAGTCCGGAACATTCGCGTCAGATCTTCCTCGTGATAGTCAAATGTTATCACGGCCACGACTGAACCTCTGCATTTGACTAAAAGTGACACATTTGACTATTAAGAAAATTAAAGCTTTGGTCAACAGTGATAATTATCAATGGGCCTTTACTGGGTAAATTTCAGCCCAAACCACACCTAATACCACAACATCACAAAAACACAATAGTACATGCAAAAAAGAAAAAAGAAAGAAAGAAGTAACGGTTTGATCCCAGATAAACGGCACGTAAAGGTGTTACTTGTGCATACTGGTTTTTTGTGTGTTCGTTTGTTTTACTTTTGTATTAAAATGTCATAACTGAATTAGTAACAGGCCAAAACGTTTGGATAAATTCCCAGGAGATAATTGTATTCAACACATTTTCTTAAAATTAACAGTATAGTGGTGGTGCATGTGGAAAAATATATTTATCGGATAGAGAAAATTAAAACGAAAACAAAACACGCTGTATAAATGACGCTTTACTGATTAACCGATGAATACTAAGTAATATTGTGTATATGAGTAATATGAAGCATGAAAATACACAAGAAAAAATAATTAGGTGTATGTACAGCGACAACTGTAGAGCATAAAGTGTATTTGGACTTACGTATTTAAAACGTAAAAAAACTGTCTCCCTCCCACTGACTCACTCAGCCATTCACAAAATAAAAAAGAATAGTCTATAATTCTGTATCGCTGACATCTTTTCATATACAAAGGGAATTTAATCAGCCTAAAAATACGTTAGCAGCATGGAGGCTGTTCTAATTACTGACAATATATGTCCACCATTTTGATTCCTGAATTTTTAATATCTGTTTACGAGTTTCTTTTACACACTCCAGACTACTTATTTTGTTTAGTACTACGGTTTGTTTTGTTTTTATTTTTTAATTACATTATTACTACTGGACATTTTATGTGTTTATATTTTTATTGTTGAATATCAACAGTCTGTAAAATGACCCAGGGTAACGTTTTGCTGTAGTGATACTGTTTGAGCTGACATGACATTTTTTCCAGCAGCTGCAATCCTGTCTCACCGACAGAGCTGCAGAGAAGCAGGCAACAATAAATAATGTAATCCTGGTGTAGTGTATGGTTGAGGAATACACATCAGTGCTCGGTGCAGACGGAGGCCTGTGAATGTCAATGCCTTCGCCTAATGGCCGTTCAATAGGGGTGTAATTGATGCGCAGGCGGGAGGTCGATGGGATTAGACGGTGAGAAAAGTGATCCGAGTGAAAATGAGAAATAACAGGAAGGAGCTTCATCGGACAGATGCTGCAAGAAAACATTCGGGAAAGGTTTTGTTTTTGGACGGAACTTTGTGTTTAAAGGTATGAACTGTGAAACCCTTCAAGTGGGTTTTAAAAAGAAAACGTTTTCTCCTGTTCCCCCCTCGTCCAGATGACGTTATCTATTTCTTCACTTCTGAATCATCAGCGGTCTTGATGCTTCAGCTGCTGTTGTGGGAGGAAAAGGAAACATCTTCAATCAGACTCTCCACAGGCCTTCACCTGCAATGGCTCTGCGATTATCGCCTGTTTGAAGAGGGCTGTCAAGTCGATTAACACGCAGAATGAACTAACACCTCACTGTCTGTAATGATGTAATTAAGCCTAAAAATGATAAGCTTTTTATCTTCATCTGGAGGTCAGTTGTGGCAAAACCCAGCCAGTCAAGTTATTTTAAATGGCCTGAAAAACAACACTGACACAACGTGCTTAGCGTTTAAGTTAATAATAATATTTATAACAAGGCATGGGTGCTAGAGACAGGCAGTGGAAGGATCTGTCACAGAGGTTTGGCTGTGACTCCCCCAATCTCAGGTTGTGTTGTGTGAGGACACCAGGTGTAAAAACTCTCCCCAAACATCTACATGGACTGCTGTGGTTAACCCCGATGACAGTATTTGTTTTAAAAATACTTGGGTATTTGGAACTCCACAGTTGAAAATTTGATTTAACACAGGTAATTGAACCAAAAAACTATTTTTTAATAAATAACAATCAAACAGACAGATTTACAATTAACGTCTTTCACGATGGGCCTCTGAAGAGCAACTTTGGATGATCTGGCCCTACAAAGTAGAAGTGAAATTCAAACCCCTACTTCAAAGCATTTAAACTACAATAAATTATTTAAACATTTAAAAACTTTTTTCTAATTCATTCATATTGTTCCATTTACAACAACCATCCTGCTGCTCTTGTCATTCTAAGTATTGATAGAACTGTGTGTAGAAATCCACCTGCTCATCAGTCCATCCTCACTGTAATGGACCCAGATGATGATGGACACTGTGTCCACACTGACACTCTACACTGAAATCTTTAAGGCGAAATACTACGATTTATCGTTTCACATTTCTGGATGATAAGCTGTAAATGTTACTATTAATACACAACATTGAAATGTTGAGACGGTTCCCTCCCTTTTCAGACTCAGCTTCAGCCACATCCTCCTCTCTCTGCGGGTCACTTTTAATGCCAATGGGCCTGCCACCGTCCATTAACACCTCTATAATTGGTTTAACAAAGGCTAGAAGAGGCTGCAGCTAATGGAGGAAGCTACAGATCGGGCCTTAGAACAGGACCCCCCTGCCGCCCTCCGTATCGTTACTATCGTCACCATGATTTATAGCAATCACGGTCGTCATCGTCATTGTGCTCAGTAATCAATATTTAACTGTTCACTGCACATTGGAAAATCGTGGATTTTTCTTTTTACCGTATTTTATTTTTCTCACATCTATGTAGTAGTGCAAGTCGTTGATTTTTATTTAGTTTGTTTTTTTTACTTACAGGTGTTTCTGTTTAGATTATATCAACAACGCCTGAAAACGTAACGACAAAGCCGTAAAGCCGGTAACAGCTACTGGCGAATCAGAACAATGGTAGACGAGCGCCATCATGTGGACACGATCGAAGTTAGCAAAATATTTATGGTTACACTCGAATGTTTTTTTAGCTTTTGCATAATTTTACATTAAGCATATTATTTGTGAAATTAAAACACTATTTTTTAAATAAAAAGCTAACCATCGTATACTTAAAAAATACTAAGGTTAAATTAGAAACCATTTTATAAATAATGTCTGCTAGTAAATTAAGGGAACAATCAGCAAAACGTTGATAGGAAAAGCATTTGTTTAGTGCTTGATATATAAATGTCAGAATACTAATTGAACTGTGTCTGACCAAATGGATGACACCATCTCAATACTCAGATTTTTTTTCAAATTGGATGTTCAGTCAAATGAGAGGTATTGTGGTTGTGTTAGGAGAGGCCTCCTTTTTGCTTTCAATGCCTTTTATTTTATAATGTGACAATGTCTGGACCAACGAAGAATAATGTGAAATGACAAACAAAAAATAAAATAACTTTTAAATTTTTTTTAAATATAGAATAACCTGTATAACGTCTTCACAACGAGAGATACCAATGAAGTACCAACATGACATTAAGGCACCGAAACAGATAGTTTGGACCAGGATTCTTTTGACTGGGTTGAATAGGTAGTGCAGTGCTTAATCATGATGGTATTATGACCAAATATGTAACAGACCTTTCTTTAAGACACCAAGGAACCGGTTTAATAAGCAAAAAAGGGGTTCTTATATCTGGACATCAGTGCCTCGCCAGGCATGAACCTCACTGGTTCTTCAAAACCCCAAAATACAACGCTACAAAAATTGCAAAGGAGCTCGATACTTCAACCATTTCATAAAAATAACTTTTGAAATATTAATTTATTTTTTGCTGCGATAGCGCAAGAGTTGACACTGATATAATCTATTTCGTTGTTTTGACAAAAAAAAAATCCATATTGTTTACATGACAACTAAATAAATGTTTGTTTTTATTTCAAATGTTTAATTTGCTTCGTTTCCCCCCACTTTGCTCTGTCTCGGGTGTTAACATACCAGGTGACCTTATATATGCACTTACATCTCACTAGTGACAAGCTGCCCAATGTTAAAAAAATATTGGCCCTTTTAAACCGTTTTCTGTTTTTCTTGAACCGATGCTGTGAACGGTAGAAATGGCGCCTAACTACACAACTCACGGACATACAAACCGACATGCTAAACAGCTTAAATTGAAACCAGCGTACACAAACAACCACAACACAGTATATCACCGACAAAACTCATTTATTTCAACATCATAGAGGACAGTGTGGTACAGACTGTTACAGTTTTAACATGAAACCCGTAACAAAATCTTAACACACATACTCACGCTCGCACCACTGCACTTCCTGGTCCGGCAGCATAAAGTGTCCCAGTGGGAACGTGAACCACGGTAGAGCTCTGATTTTATGTTCCATCTTGGGACGGAAAAGTTGTTGGTGATAAGTGTTTATCTCTTGTTATTATTGTCCAATCATTTAGTGTGCCTTGTCAACTTCCTGGTCCGGCAGCATAAAGTGTCCCAGTGGGAACGTGAACCACGGTAGAGCTCTGATTTTATGTTCCATCTTGGGACGGAAAACTTGTTGGTGATAAGTGTTTATCTCTTGTTAAACTTGTCCAATCATTTAGTGTGCCTTGTCATTATAGATGTGTGAAAATATGTGTAGTTAGTGGAATATGTTTTTGTTGGGAAATTATGTGTTTAGTTGTTGATATTCACATTATATTATATAGCGACGCTACAGGCTGCATATTTCTAAATGTATTGATATCTGAGATGAAAAAATCCCTTTTATTCAGTTATTTGTTTGCATTTTGAGCAACTTTGTACAATAAATAAACCTGCAATGTTATTCACCAAATAAGCTGACTCTTCCTTGTTTAATTTGGGTATATGCGCTAAGTGAGGTCAGAATGGTGACGTCTCTGCATCACACCCAGTTAACCAGGCTCATAAGCAGCTCTAGGATACAGACAACGATCTTTTTAAGTTGGGTGTATCTATTAGCACGCACCCTAGTGACCACTGGTGGTTAATAACTCAACTTATCGATGTGTACAGTGTGTAAATATGCAATATCAGAAAATAACTGTGACTGAACTCAAGGAGAAGAGACCAAGAGCAAATTTAAATCCCATTTATTCCTGGTTTCCAATTTGAACATACAAGCTACAACAAAACTAAATAAGAACAAAAATTAAACAAAGAGACCATATATATATATTTAAAAAACAAATGGCCTACAGCGGTTTACAAAGGATTTAGTTAGAAGCAAAAGCCTTCCGATGGCAACAGTAGGGAAATAGATTCAGGTTGATCATTGACTTAACAATAAAAACCCATTGCACTCCTACTTCCCCTGAGGTTCTCTGACACACACAAGCAGACGGTAAACAGTTTCAGAAGGCACTTAACAAGGGTTTGCATTATGTATCAGTGCATATTAAAACATAAATTCCATTTTGTACAAAGACATTGACAACAGACCTGATCTGCACAACAGACTACCAAATGTAGAAAGCCAATAAAAGTATCTGCTGAACAATATAGACATATAAAGAGGGAGTTCTCATCAATGCAATGCAAAGCAAAAGATGTCCAACAAGCATGAGACCGTTCAGTGAAGAAAACCGAAAAAACCTGGCCAAGGAGTATATATTCACCATGAAAAATTACATCCACAAAATACAATCTAAGCATGAAACAAAACCTTTGGTGTGTGCATTCTTTTGTACCAATGTGTACACCTGCACAAAAAAACAACAACAAAACAAACGAAACACTATATTATGTGAATTGATGTTAAAATCTAATTTTTAATTAATCTAGTCTTGTTTCGGTAGACAGAAAGTAGAGAAAATAGTATGTGTAAGAATATTGGATTTTGAGAATTAGATCTAATGATTTAATCATTAATTGATCCATTATTTGCTTTAAACTGGACCAAGTGTGTCTGTTTTATTTTAAAACAGACAACAAAAATACAACATAAGCACCACTGAGGAGCAAAAGAAAAAAAAGAAAAGAAAAATAGAAAAAACTCAAATTAATGGAAATTACATCACAATTAATGAATAAATTGTCAAATTAGTTGCTCCATATCTGATTAAATTCTAATCAAAAAGGTAAACATATTAAATGAAAAGCTCAAAGTTTTGTGGATGGTTAGGGTTTAAACTGGAAAAGAACAGGAAAAGAAGTGACACGTAATCATTTTAATTACACATTCCAAACTGTTGCATATATACCATGTCTAAGGATTGCACATACATACTACTATAGGTCTGTACAGTATATAACATTTAACATTGTAGTATAAAATAATGTCCTAAGTCTATAGATATACATTCGGGGTAAAGCGTAGGCTGGGCTGGATCTTGGATGTAAGTGACATTTAAATACAGTCAACCCCAAAGAGTTTCTGTGGCTGTTTCTACAGGGAACACATTCACCCACACCTGGGTCAAAGTTCCTTTCTTTTTAGGTGGAGGAAAACAATTGCACCGTCAAATGGACAACACATGCTGTGCTGTTTTTTTTACATGTGATTAATAACAGTTTTAGATTAAGTGGTTGAGATTTTAACAACCAATTGCACAAGAGGCCATTGGACATCCCTCTTTAAAACAAAATAATTTAGCCACAATTGTCAATTTTTTTACACGTTGTGTATCAAGAAAGAATACATGCTGATGTCTGACCAATTATTATTGTAATGTGATTAGTTTACCACTGCCCACCTGCTTCACACTGACAGTGTGTACATAAACAAGGAGAAAAGACCTGATAGTTGTTACTGCATTTCACCATTTATGCGGAGAGAGCTAATGTTTGTGCTTTTGGGAGCAAATACAATATTGAATGTACTGTTAAATATCTACATTGAAATATGGCTATTTTCAGCAAGTTTTAGACCTGTTTAGATTACCCTAGGTCAGACTGCATACCGTTATCAGCAGAGAAAAAAAGAACAAAGTTATATTATGTCCAACTAAAGATGTCTCGATGGGCCATTTGGACAAAAAAGGTCAGAAAGGTTTTCGACTCCTTTGACATCACTGATTCTCCACTGAGACATCGCTCTCACCTAAATTAAACAAATGTTTTAGGAGTGATTCATGCTGCCAAAAGTGAGGGCAGGGTACGTGCAGTTAAGCGGCTCAGTTTGTGACAGATTATCAATGCTGACTGAATTTATTGGCTGTGCTAATTACAGTATTAGAAGGACAACAGAGACATTTTCTGGCCATGTATCTATAAGAAAAACAAACTATAAAAACAAAGCTCACAGAACAGACCCTTGTTTTGAATACTAGTTTCATTTAGTGGGGAATTTAGACACTTGAGTGGCTTGCTCTGGCACGAACATCATTTCTAAAAAAAAAAGTGCATTTTACCAACATTTTTTAGAATTCGGACATTCATCTATAAAGCTTGTGTTGTCTGTATATGTGTTGTCCACCAGTACATAGCCGCTGCTGCTAGTGAACAACAGAAGCAGCGACTTTTTAAGTTGGTGGCTGGCGCTGAAAATCAGATTCCAGTAAAATTTTCAATTGGCTTTTTTTCATTGATATATTCAGTCATACATTCACTGTTTTTAGTGAAAGCTGTGGCAACAATTCAACAACATCACTGCTGTTTTTTGAAATATAAATGCAACATGTTTTCCCCCAGTATGAGTAAAGGTCAGAACCCATTAATTTGGAAAAAAAATTAAAAGTTGGCAAACTCAACATTAAGTTAAAAAAAAGATTGATCTTGAAGGCAGTACTTGCAACTTCGTTCAGGCATCTGACAGTTTGTGTAATGTTGACTGTACTTATTTGTGTGAGCAGGAGGAGTAAAGACCTGTACAGTGAGAAATTTATGATTTGTAGGTTGCAGTGTTGTCTCTTCTGCAAGATTACTTGGTGATACACAGATGCAAACATCTCCTTTGGTGTGAGATACAACTCTAGGAAGACAGAAACAAACAAAAAAATGATTAAAGAGGAATTGAAGACCAATCTTTGCCAATTGACACATTTCAAATTTCTCCACCTTTAGCTCTATGTTTCCCTGATAATCATCATCATGTTTCTCTCTCCTTCTTGACAGCGATGTCCCCACTCCCTGATCCAGCTCCACTGACAGCACCACCCCCTGCCCCAGATGTAGGTGCGGCTGCAGCTCCAGACCCTGGCCCAGATGCAGAAGCAGCAGCAGGACCGACTCCAGCGCTGCCCAGTATGGTGGAAACTTCTCCCTGCATGAAAGCCCAAGGTGGACTGTTTGGAGAATTATCTAAAGGACAACGCTCGCCACTAGGGCAGTACACCTCTCCGTCCCCTCGCCGACTTTGGATGTAAATCCTGGTGCAAGGGAAACAGAACCTAAACACGGTAAGAGAAAATATAGTAAATATAAATAATTTTTTCATAAAAACACTACTTTACAGATACACTTTTCTGAGTTTCTAAAGTATAATAAACAATAATTGTGCTGGTCTGTAAAATTATAAAAAAGAGGAATAAAATATTAATTAAAAATAAATGCAATTTAAAATACAAAGCAGCACACAGACCTATGTCCAGGTACTGATGGACACTGAACAAAGTGTGTGTCTTCCAATCTCTCATGGCACAGGCTGCAGGACAGCGTGTTCCCTGTTGAATGAGTGTTGTTGGTGGATGCTGATCCCAGCTCAGAGGCACCATTGTGGGGTAACGCAGCAGCTGTGGTAGCTGCTTCTGCAGAGTTGCTGGACCCGAGGGGCTCCCCTCCAGACCGTGCTGCTGGAGGACGTGGCTGCCTCGCTGGAGATGATGCCGGTTTAGGGCTTGTCTGGCTCACACCACCTGCCAGAGATGAAGACACAGACGGAAGGCCAGTACTCTTGCTTGCATTGTTTCCAGCTACAGCTGTGTGAACCTGCGTCTGTGTTTTAGGCTGATTCTGAGATGAGCTGAGCTCTCGCTCCAGCTCTGGAGTGATAAAGGGGGCGATCCCCATTCCAATGCCCAGTTGCCTTCGACTCATCTCTGCCAAGACAGGGGCAGGGAAAATCATAGGACTGCTCATGGGGGCTGTCCTGGCTGTCAGAACCGGTGGCATGCCTGCAAGAAGCCCCGGAGGAATCCCTGCAATGTTCTGAGTTACAAGACTGGGAGGGATAGCAGCGCCAAGCATGGGTCTCCGGCTGCCGCTGGGGCTCTGGCGGTTTACTTCTTGAGGAGGCTGCCCGTCACGGTGGAGTCCGTTGGGCGGTACACGCACTGTTGATCCGGCGCTTTCTCCTCTTCCTCCCCTGTCGTAGCGGTCTGCATGAGGCCTGCCTCCATCCGCTGCTGCCTCTACTCTGCCGTGCTTATTGGGCGAGGGACCAGGTGACCTGACGTTACCGTCTTGCATCCCGTGAGTTCGTTTCAACTGTCGGGCACTCGTTATCAGAAATTCAATCTGGTTAGCTCCCTCATAGTTCACACAACCGCGGCACACCACCTCGCTAAAGTCCCACACTACAGTCCAGGGCATCTTTGGCAGGTCGCACAGGTAGCACCACTGGCGCCTGGAGGAGGAGGACGGGGACGACATGTCTAACCTGAGCGGCTTCCAATTAGCGAGCTAGGTGGCTAACCTCTTAGCACACTTTAGCTCAGTTAACCTATTTAGCTTTGACAGGTGCACGCCTCTTTCACCGGACCACTTGCAACACTAGCTGTCGCCGTAACGCTTCAGAAAAACGTTACACATCATATAGATAAAAATTCTGCTCAAACCTCGTTGTTTTTTCGTTCCTTTTGACAAATGTTTGTTTTGTTTACCCACTTAGGCCTGCTCTCCCCTGCTGTCAATCGTCTGCCCGACAGACACTAGAACGTTACGTAACCATGCACAAGGCATTGTGGGCGTTGAAGTTTTTCAAGTAACTGTTTCATTCTCACAGCGTAGTCGCTGAACTACACACAAAAAGTGACACGGAAATGACGTATTATAGGGTTTACAGTTCACTGTGCGTTAACACATGTGCGTCCTCCATATCCATGCGTCGGAATAAAACAAGTTTAATTGTTGTTGAAGTCCACAGCGGTTGACTGAACAGCGTTAAGATGTTGAAAGACATTTCGTCTTCATCGAGTGAAGACGAGGTAGACGATGCTCCCACAGAAACACTAACAGAAAAGCCAACCACACCGGGTAAGTTCCAAATATTAGCATATGGTTCTCGTTCTGTTTTTTTTGTTTTTTGTTTTGGGGTGGATGTTGTAAAAGTAAGTCAAATGAGACCTACTGCCATCATTACGTTCAGTTCAAATGGTCTAAAATACAATCGATTTTTGAAAATTGAAAATGGAAAAATTATTGTTTTCCCCGCTAGTTTATCGTGATACAATGAGATCGTTGGGTGTTATTGTTTCATACTTGCAGGTTTTTAAATAGACCCCCCCCCCCCCAGCTTGTTTAAATATAATTAAATCATATGCAAATGTTTTGTGTGTTTTACATTATAATCAATGTGTCTTACCTTTTATTATATACGCTAAATGGTGTTTGGTGCTCTCATCATACTGTGTATTTTGGATCTACAGAAAAGAAGACCACCAGGTACCAGTGTCCTGCAGACTTCGTGTCTTTCTGCCATAAACCCTGCAGCAGCACCTTCACAGCCAGGCTAAAGAAAAACAAGACTGAGCTGTGGCTCATCAAAGCTCCTGCCAGCTTTAATCCAGAATGGTGGGTGTGTTATTCAGACATTTATGTGTCTTCATTGACTGCAGCATTTTGTCTTGAAATGTTTGGATTTTCATTATTTTGTATTGTGATGTTAAAGTGGACTGTTCAATTTAATAGCAATTGATAAAATGTCTTCCGTTCCATATGTCTATATGTTGTACAATTATTTGTTAACCAAGATTGTAATATAAAGTACGTCACCATGTCTGTGCTTCCTCTTCCTCTTCTTAGTTTCAATGGTATCAAGGTTCCTCTGTCAGGTCTCCAGACTGTAAAGGTTCCCCGAGCTGCAGGTGTGGACAAATCTGGGAGTAGACAGCAGATCTATAACATCCTGGCATCCTCCCATGGTACTGCTGAGCTCCACTTGCTCACCACCAAAAAGCAGTCATCCGACAGAGTCATCATTGGTCCAGCTTTCTCAGGCCAGCTGAATGTGAGTGAGAGCTATGGAGACAGCAGCGCCAATTTGGCTCCTCAGATCATCCCTGCTGCTCCAGCGCCCTCCATACCACCAGGCCTCAAACAGCGCTTCCACCCCTTTGGAAGTAGGACCATGGCGATGGACGGTATTTCAGAAAATGAGACTGATGGGTCCATCGTTAGGCCTTCACTTACACACCTCCATCCGATTGTCAGTAAACGATCCATCGAAGAAGTGGAGCATGAGAGAGAAGCTGAAGATGGAAAGAAAAAAAGGAAAAAGAAGGAAAAGCAGCTAAAGGTAGCTCGAGAGGAGGTGGAGGAGCTAAAAGTGGAAACCACAGCTGAGTTTCTTAATGAAGCAGTGACTCAACTACCACTACAGGAGGGTGATGTTTCAGAGAAAAGGAAAAGGAAGAAGAAAAAGAAAGCCAGGGAGCAGGCAGAGGCAGAGGAGGTGACGGTGAAAGTAGAACCTATGGCTGAATTTGAAGAGTTCCCCTTTCAGAATGTTGAAGTTTCAAAGACAAAGAAGAAGAAGAAAAAGAAAGACAGAGAGCGAGAGGAGGAGGGTGTGGGAGTGGAGCCTGAAGTAGATTTAAAGGTCGAAGAGGTCGTCATAAAATGTGAACCAACAAAGACTTTCTGTGTCGATGAAGTGGAAGGCTTAGGAAAGAAGAAGAAGAAGAAAAAGAAGAAGAGCAAAAATGATGATTAATCTTTCTGTCACCATGTTGGTTATTATTATTTTATTACTCTTTATGACTCCTCAATTATGTATGTGTGATACATTTCACAAATCAAGACTTGCTGTCATGGTTTATTGCAATAAAAGATTGCAGTAGGCACAACCTGCAACACAATTTATACCATGTATTTAAAGAATGCATCTTCAAGAGACATGTTTTTGACATATATTGTAGAATATTAGAAATGCTGTAAAACCCATGTTAGAAATTCAACTAAAAAAAACCCCAAGCAATTAAATTGAGTAAAATCTGAGTAAAGAACATGGTGTTTTTGTCCTGCACTACAGTTTTGTAAGGATTAGACCACAGAACAACATTTTGGATGGAGCGACGGAACTCTATGTGAATCCATCCAGGAGGAACAATGAAACTTACTATCCAACTCCAATTGAGGCTTTTATATTATATTAATAAAACAATTTTCAAATGTTAAAGTAATTTCACAAGAGTCATTACAAAACCCACAACACTGTAATTCATAAAAATTAAAGGTGGGGGGTTTCGGTTGAACAGAACAAACACAACTCATAATTTTGGAAAAGAAGATGGCTTTCCTTTCATAACAAGTTGTAATAATGTATTGCACTTTACATATTGGGACAAAAGCCCAATATATATATAAATATATATATATATATACATACATACATTTATACATATATTATATATTACATATATTATACATATATAATGTATAATAAATGTCTGCATCAAAAGCCTTTTACAAGTTGCTCCGAGCCAATCTCCGTTTACAACGAGAGAGATGGGACAGCTCCTACAGCTAGATGGCGCCACAGACCCGCCATAGTTTCCCGTGTGCAGCCCCGCAGTCCCCGGACAGTCTGTGAGCTCATTATTGGCCTGCTACCAGTTACTTTCTCAAATGCAGACTGTAGGCTTGTGTCAAACACACAGAGAAATGTTATGAATATTTCCATTTTCCAGCAGCAGCGAATTTTAAGGCATAAAAAGAAGAAGAATAAAAATCCTTAGTCCAGACTGCACCCCTCACCCTCCGCTCTCCTCATCCTCTTTTCTCCCCTCACTGCTCCCCCTCTATCTGCTCTGCACTGGAGTATGGTGCTGCCTCTTAATGAGCTCACTCACCTCTGGCACTATCACACTCTCACCATCTGTGATAACCCCCCTCTGCACATGCTGCTAGGCTTTATTGATCCATCCTCACTCCTGCATCCACATGTGTGCTCTATCTGAGGGGTCAACCAAACTACCAAACCCAAGATAATTAAACCATGCTGGAGTCCAAACGTTCAATTTTTTACTACAAAATATATATTTATTTAATTTTTTTCAACTCGCAGCTATGAACTGTGGCCTCAGCAGACGACCGCTAAAGCTGCAGATGTTAGATTTTGGATGAAGCGAGTCAAATCTAATGCCAGATTTGTGTGTTTCCTCATAGGTATGTTGAATGTGAGAGAGTGGCTGGGCTTCAGGGTCTGCAGGCTGCAGAGCTCGGCTTCATGGTGAATGCTTAACAGAAACACTAGCTAAAAGTAAAAGCTTAAATAACCTGTTCCTTCAGGGCAGATTCCTCTGTATTTTTTCCCCTGTGCATAGGAAGTTGTGTTTTCTTTTTTCTTCAGAAATTTAATTAACTCTAATAGACAGTAGATGCACAAGTTGTTATTTGCACACACTGCGGGAAAAGAAAGTTGTTTCATCGACGTACCTCCAGTTTAAAACACCATCTCAGTGGCCAACATGCCTTAGTGGAGAGGTTAGGTTCAGGTTAGACGACCAGCGTCAGTAAGTTAGTTTACTTTAATTAGTAGACTGACCCAATTGTCAAATGGATTGGGACAAATAGTTAGTTACAAATATACATCCATCTCCCTAATGTCATAGACAGCGATGTAGTTGCTGTAGTTATTTCTACTAATACAGTATCTTGTATATTTGCCCTCTGTTTCTACTGTACAAATCAGCATTTTTCATCTATGCGGTGATTTGCCTTAACATACTGGTGTGCAACAGACACTTCCCTACATGTGGAGTCCTGGTCAGCCATGGTTTATTTATGGACTACCGTAGTTATAACTGAGTGAATATACTCATTTCTGTTTCAAAAGTTGAACTCCCTAAAAAATTTGAAGCGTCATGACAGTCCAGAAAACATGTTTCATCAAAACGGGCAGAGATGATGGAGTTGAAGAGCCTACAGAGGTGGAGAATCAACAGAGCCTTAATCCATATTCTAACACATTTCACTGCAGTGGTGTACAGTCAAGACCACCAAAGCCCTCTCTGCTGGGCTGAACAGTATCAGAGTCAATGACAATTTTTTTTCAATATATTTATCATGAATACTACATAATACATAGTAGTCTGTCCTCATCATTTCATAGCTGATCTCTTGGTCACGGTGCTTCCTGTCGCGTATACTCAAGTTTTTCACAGACACGTGATATGTTCAATAGGCTTGCATGTGTGTGTTGCAGTGGTGTTTGCGAAGAAGGAGGAGGCGGATGAATAATAAATGTGGTCTGAGTTTGGATCCAACGTGTTCAGACTACAGAGCAGAGCAAAGGCCTTTCTATAGTGGAGCCGCTGCCAGTGATGGGATTTTGGATGGTGGTAGGGAGGACAGGGTCAGCATGTACGGGGGTGAAGTGTTGGCAGGCACGGGAGGGGGGTAATAAATTGGAGAACCAATTCCTGCCTTCCTTCCCCTCTATCTATCTATCTATATCTCTCTGTCTCTCTTTTCGTTTTCTTTTTCAACCACCCTGCTCAAGCGAGCCTGCGGCAATGCGAACGTTGTCATGGCAACATGGACCTGCCAAGGACTTCAGTGGTGTAGAGAGAGAGAGAGACAGGGGTGCAGCTCACTAATGTTTTACAGTTCCCCTTCCTTAATCAAACCAAAAGTACACAAACTCACCCTTTAGAAATATGTCTGAAAGAACAAACCTCACAGTGGCCTGTGCCAGTGTTTCTGTCTCTGCTTAGTGATGATGCTTCCTGCATTTTACCTGTTGGTTTCCCATGAGGAAATGAATTGAACCAACAGTGAGATAAAAACCATTCACTTCCCTTAACTCTCACCTTCACTATTTATTTAGATTTAAGTCGTTTTTGTTTCTTTTTTACATATTTTATATCCATTTGAACACACAATACCTCCATCAAATACACTAAGTAGGGTTGGGATTGTTTCTGTCAATTCTCTTTATCACAATAAACTTAAACATGTAACGTAAATGTATCATCAAGTTTAATACTGATGGCTGGTGTGTGTCAAACATCGTCTCATCTAATCTTGACATAAAACAGCATCAACTTAAGTTTTTGTTTATTATATCTATGGGTTTTCTTTCTTTCTTTCTTTCTTTCTTCATTCTTCTTTTTATTTGCTCATTCTTCTTTTTCTTTCCTCGTTCCACCCACTTTTTTCTTGCCTGTGGCTCATATGAACCACCCACCACCTCTAGAGAACCCGCTGCATGAGGCACAAGTGGTTGCTCATAAATTACATTAAATTACTGGGAGGTTGAATCATTTTGTATAACCAACTGTCTGTTATTGAATGTTTTTAAATAATACTAAATGTGACCAAAAAATCAACTATACACAAGAAAGGTATTTTCTTTGTTAATGTGGAGACTGTTTTTTCTTTCTATTTTGTTTCTGAGGTTTCCTGCTGTTGGAGGAAGCCTTCACATACCCTGTCTTCCTGTCACTGTCAGGTAGTGGAGAAGGCTTTCCTCCTCCACTCTGTCCCGCGTGGACATGGGAATCTACTCACTTTGATGATGACAGACGGCAAGTCAAATGTTAGAGCAGTGATCGCTGAGCAAGAGTGTGATAGGCTGCGCTGAGAATCTGTTGCTAGGCTCACTGTGAACAGACCAGTCAAGTCTGACATACGTTTTCAAAGCAGCCCTCTTAGCAGCTTGCAACAGTTGCCATGGGAACCCAAATGTCATTTCTCCCCATTGTTTGTCTACTTGATATTCCCAAAGCCTTTCATTCCTTTTTATTAACGTCTAAGTTTAGAAAGCCAGGAAGTGCTTGGAAGTGGGCTTTCTGCATGTGTAAGTATGTGGTGTGTACTGTATGTTTCAGCAGATATGATGCACCTTAGAGTATTTGTGTGTGTACCGATCTTTATTGCAAAAATAAAATTGAATGTTAAACTGCACTATTAGGGATTTTCTTAGTGTAAAACAGAGAGCACTAATCTCCCAGTCCTCCTCCACAGGTGGTGGCGCTGTGGATTTTGGGGGACATTGCTCTGTACAAATGTCCTTCAACCTTTTCTTGAGGAAATAGTTATGGACCAGTTGGAACTTACAGAGAGATTTGTGGGTGAGACCAAAAAGGAGGGAGTTGCAGTTAAGTTAAGGCGGGAGGTGACGAGGCTGTGAACCAGGATGGAAGTGGTATGAGGAGTGAGGGAGGAGCGGAGGCGGTTAATATTGATGTTGATATTGATATTGAAAAGAGTGTACTGTCGAGGATGACACCCAGACTCTTAACCTGTGGGGTATATAGGTAATATATTCATCTTAACGTTGAGTGGTTTAATGTTAAGACCTTTAATCCTGAGAAATACACAAGCAATGTCATAAAAAGGTATGACAGTCACGCATGAACCACATAACAGCCAGACAGGATTAATCAAAAGCACTTTGTCCTGCCCTGAGGTTGGTTTTATTGAGATAATAAAAACAAAACAATATTTTATATGGTTTTTACTGGTACATAAATGACAAAAGTGACTTCAGTGAGATCATTTAATTGCAAAGACAAAATGCCAAAAACAAGCTACTAAAAAAAGTTGATAGACTAAGCCTAAAATATCGTCATCTTTGAGGCTAATGTTTAGATCTGGTATTGTGCACTAAGCATAAATAATTTAAAGTGTTGTTAAATTTGTTTTCAATCAAACTAGTTGTTAACATTTTACGCAATAACACTGAGCAGTAGTGGCTTAGTGGTTAAGGAAGTGGGTCCAGAAGTCTTCAGGTTTGAGTCCACCAGCTGCCAAGTCACTGCTGAGGTGCTCTGAGCATGGCACCATCTCCCCTCACTGCTGCCCACGGTTCACTTTGGTGATGGGTTAAAAGCAGAGGTCACATTTTGTGGTTTGCTGTGTCACAATGACAAGTAGTTCACTTTCCTTCCTTCGTTCCTAACTACTAGTGAACTGAGTTTAAAACATACCAACTTGATTGAGCCTATATTACATTTCTTATTCTATCCATTCTAATATTCAAAGTTGACTAATATTTAAGTTTTCATTTGCCTGTTTCATGAGTAGCTTTCTGAGAAGACTGTAGTCCGTCTATAGTGCCAATGTTGACTGTGATGTTGGTGTAGAGAGGGTGGTATTCCTTCGAGATGACCTTGTATTCAGTTGTTGACCAGCCGTCTTTCATCCACGTCTGTTTTGTTTTAGCGATCATATCAAATCTTTGCATGGAAAGCATAGAAAACACATCTGACTCTGTCAATTTGATGACTTTATTTGCTTAAAAAAAGTCCAACCATTACAAACATTACCTTTTTGGGTTTGGTGTATTTCCTAAGTCTGACTGGTGTTTAATCATCTTGTAACGTCCGATATGTTGAGCAGGACGGCTGATCTTCATACCTGCTAAGAACACCCTGAGAAGATGGAAACCACTTCAGTCAGTGTTTGTAGGACACACACAAAGACACTCTACATGTAAGTGGACACGGTCCCACTGTTGCAAGACAAAATCAAAATAAAAAAACATGTTATTTTTTATTTTATATCATCAATTAGATGCCATGTTATTTTTTATTTTATATCATCAATGTGTATACATATGTCACCCCTTGATGGATATCACCAAAGGCCCAACATGGAGTATCTAAGAAGAAGAAGTAGGAGAAAAGAAAAATAAAGAAGCCGATAAAGAAGATGACAGAGAAATTACAAAGACCAAGATGGAGAAGATGATGAAGAACATCATGGTAAAGAAGGAAGCAATGAAGAAGAAGATGTCGATAAAGAAGACAACATTCTCACCTGGTTGCGACATCGTCATCTTCTCCTCCCCAACCCCAATAGTTGTTGGGGAATCCGTTGATTCTGTAGAACTGTGATGGTGTCAAAGCCGAAACCCCTCCAAAGCAAGTACTATAAGGAAGTCTGTAAAAGAAAAATCAAATAAGTAAAGAATAAAAAAAACAAAAACAAAAAAGAACTGCATTGACTGGTAAGAGTTTCTTTTTGAACATGTACATGTAGTTAAATTTGTTCACAGCAATGGAGGCATGTTTCGGATTGTCGTCACAGATGTAAATGTTACGATCATCTTCTGGTATCAAATCCACGTCGTGGAAGAAGACACAATCCCAGGTTTCTTCTAACATAGCCTCCCAGAAACCAACATTCATCAGCTTTGCCCTGTTAAACGAGTAGTTTCCAGCCTGCAGTGAAAACAAACACAAAGTCTGATGGTCTGAACAGCTGTGGGTTTTTGACCAGTTGATGTACAGGCGATGTACAGTCTGTTTTCACATCAGATTTATAACAGTGTCAGTGTTCAGTTCGTTGATGAATACCCTGCTTCTCAGACACTAGGAAACATGTCTAACAAAATAAAAACATTACGTCCACGTACGTGTGTTTTACCTGATTAATCACATAAATCCCATAGTTGAGCTGCTGTCGTTGCAGAAGTGGGTGTATATAGTGGAGGAAGATTTTGAGGTGCAGGTCCCTGTTTCTAAAAGGAATAATAATGGCTGTTCGATACCTTGCCACACAGTAAGGTGGTCTGTACCGTCCACCCAATTCCACAAAATTATTTTCTTTCTCAACCTCCTCCAGACTGAGCTCTAACGGCACGGTGACATCGATGGGACCACCTGTGAGCAGAAATCAATTCACTGTTGTTGCAATTAGAAAAGATAAAAAAACAAAACAAAACATAAAAAAACACCACCCAGAATACTAGAGTCTGTTATTTGAATGTCTGTTATCTAAATGTGACATCTGAGTATATTTGATCAATTACAAGTCGTATAACCTAAACCTAACCTGAATGATGTATAGGAAATATATGTTTATGTTATATGTAATAGAAGAAGAGCTAGGTGTGCGGTACGTGTGTGACACTCACTTATTAGAGGGGATGTTTTAGGGCAGCTGGGTAAGACTGGGAAGTGCCTTAATGTGGCAGCGAAGTTCATGTGTCGTCCCGTAGAGGTGATAAAGAGAACCAGCATCCCCAGCCCTGAGCAGAAGATACCTAACAAACAGCGCCACGTGGGCCTGAAGGGAATCATATTGCTGACGCTGTGTTTCCAGAAGAGGTCCATCAGAGACTCACTACTGCCTTAATGAATATTGACACTAGACAGGAAAGAAGAATATTTTTTTTCTGTCATATCTTGTCTTTTATAAATGGATATGAATTCTAATGTTTATTCTAGTATTTTTGTCAGTAAATTACCTTATACTGTTTAAGCATGGATATGTGTGCTGGGTGTAAAATGACCGTACACAAAAGGTTAAATATCTATCTATCTATCTATCTATCTATCTATCTATCTATCTATCTATCTATCTATCTATCTATCTATCTATCTATCTGTGTCATCATGCCTCAACATATTTTGTCAGATAGTAGACAGACAAGAGAAGACATTAAACCATTGTTGCAAATGCAAATAAATATATATTTCTCTTGCAAATTCAAATAAATATATGTAAATAATTTGCTGCTGAACTAAACACCCCTTTGTCCAGTGCAAGAGTCCAGTGCATGACCGCTCTAGTTCCGTATGTTTAATACAAAGATATCAACTACTCTATCTATCTTTGGGGTCACCCAGACAATTTTGTGTTTTCCATGAAAAGTCACACTTTTATTTACCACCATGAGCTGTAAAATGAATAGAAAATACAGTAAAGACATTGACAAGGTTAGAAATAATGATTTGTATTTGAAATAATATTTTTTTCCTTCAAACTTTGCTTTCGTCAAAGAATCCTCCATTTGCAGCAATTACAGCAGTGCAGACCTTTGGCATTCTAGCTGTTAATTTGTTGAGGTAATCTGGAGAAATTTCACCCCACACTTCTAGAAGCCCCTCCCACAAGTTGGATTGGCTGGATGGACACTTCTTGCGTACCATACGGTCAAGCTGCTCCCACAACAGCTCAATGGGGTTTAGATCTGGTGACTGCGCTGACCACTCCATTACAGATACCAGTTGAATACCAGTTGAGTTTTTTGGCAATTTCTCGCATGAAATAGCCTTCATTTCTAAGAACAAGAATAGACTGTCAAGTTTCACATGAAAGTTCTCTTTTTCTGGCCATTTTGAGCATTTAATCGACCCCACAAATGTGATGCTCCAGATACTCAACCTGCTCAAAGGTAGGTCAGTTTTATGAAGGTCAGTTTTATAGTTTCTCTAACCAGCTAAACTGTTTTCAGCTGTGCTAACATGATTGCACAAGGGTTTTCTAATCATCCATTAGCCTTCTCATGCAATGAGCAAACACATTGTACCATTAGAACACTGGAGTGATAGTTGCTGGAAACGGGCCGCTATACACCAATGTAGATATTGCACCAAAAAACAGACATTTGCAGCTAGAATAGTCATTTACCACATTAGCAATGTATAAAGTGTATTTCTGATTAGTTTAAAGTTATCTTCATTGAAAAAAACAGTGCTTTTCTTTCAAAAATAAGGAAATTTCTAAGTGACCCCAAACTTTTGAACGGTAGTATATATTAACACAAAATAATTTGGGAATCAGATTAGAAAAATATATTAATTAAAAAATGGCAAGAACTAATTACACGGCATAAATGCAAATTACACAGTACATTCACGGATAATTGATTTACTTCATGATTGTGATCTGTGACTATTTGCGGACACCACAGGAACTTCTATACCATCTCGTCAAACTACATGCATACGTCAACAACATCATACAGCTGCATTCCATGTAAGACTAAATCTACCATAACCAGTTGGTCTAGTGTTTTTGTATTTTTTGAGCAACAGAAACAAAAGCGGTTGGGAGCGGCCAGAGAGCTGTTATAGTGTTTGTGGAGTAATACATTTTTAGGAAGCTGTGTTGCTTCTGCGTCGTCATATTCTGAACTTTTAAATCACAATTTATACAACTATTAAACTATTTACAGTTGCAGTGTTAAAATCATACTCATACAATTAAATTAATGATGGTTGTTAATTGTCTTCAATATTCAGTCATCAAGCCAAACATTACACATTAATACAAGACAAAGACAAATGTCAAAGAATAGATAACCAGAAATTCTTAAGGTAATACAAATACAATTTTTAGAGTTATGAAGTTAAAGTTATAAAAGTAAATATATATATATATATCTGTCCATCTCTCTCCCTCTCCCTTATATATATATAAATATATAAATAAATATATATATAGTGTGTGGAGTATAGAGAAGAGGACTGTTTGCAGGAAATCTTTAACTTACTTTAGCTGTACAGTTGTTTGTCGTCCTATCCGCTTGACTGTTTTGTCCAGATTATGGAGCTGTCCTGTGTGGATTATTTTTTTCTGCAGAATGTCTAAGAGGTCGTGGACAACTGCTGTTTGTACATCACTGTTTGATTTACCTTCTATCTCCTTTTTTTTTATTACATTCTATGAATGAGTACACTGGTTGGTGTGCCACCTTCTGTGTAGCAGCCTATCAGCTGCAAACAGATACTTAACGACACCTCCCTAACCAGCCTGTGCGGATTGGACTCGCACTGTGGAGTTAACCACTGTGGTAAAAATGAGGAACTAAATTATTACATTATTATTATAATTATACTACAATAATAGCTTATCAAGGAAGTTTTAAAATTAGATTGAACTGGTTCCGACTGAATATGAACTGAAAATGTTTATTGTAAAAACTGAACCAATTGGTGAAAAACTATTTAAAAAAAGAGAGGCATCAATACTGAAATGCAGATGTCAAGCTGTTATGAAGAAAATGTCCACGTCACGTGCAGCCGATCTTTTAGTTCAAGTTTAGAAAGTTTTGTATCAGTTTTTGTGTGGTATCACCACTGACCCCAGACTGCAGCATCACTCCTTACAAAATCCAGACTGACAATTTTCTTTGTGTTTCTTATAGACCAAACCTTCTGAACTAAACACAACACACCCTTATTTGCATGACAATGCATGACAGGCCTGGAGACCTGGAGACATGACTTGCCTGCCACGACAGACGAGATGGAATTCTCAACAACGTCACAACTAAGGTGGGTCAGATTCCAAGAGCCACCTTAGTTGTGACATTGTTGAGAATTCCATCTCGTCTCCTTTTGAACTTTGTGGTATTTGATGTTATTGATTTTGATTGATCATAAAAAATGAATTTTTACTTGGTGTTAGTTCAATACACTTGGAATGTAATTTGTCCAAACTTTTGATTTCTGCCATAATTTGAATAACTTTGGATAGACGATCTTCATAGCAAGTTTATGGGTAAGATTGGTGTCTCAACATAGTCTCCAAAAAAGAAAACACAGCATCTTTTTAGTGACTCAGACTCACCAGCTATAGATGCTCAGCCTCAGGTTCATTCACAAAATCGGTGCCGCATCAAATTGATGACCATTAGGCTTCAGAGTTATTTCACTGAGATCCCAGCAACTATAAAGTACTGGTGTCTCATTACTTTCCTTTGCATTACACGGACTCTTCCTTTATAATAGTTTTATTGCTCCTCTCATTGTTGCCAATTCAGATTTGCTCTCCAAATTACTCTGCGCAAGTTTGTTTGTGCAAATTTGCTCTCACTGGTTCCACATCCTTTTCTTGAAAGACCAGGACTGATGCCAATCTGGCAATCATCCAACCTGCTGTGTATTTGACAGAACATCGTTTCACACAACGAAATGTGACTTCTGCATTTTACCCATCACCAAAGTGAGAAGAAGGCAGTTTAAACACCAGGGGGTACAAAGATTTTCAACAGCTCTGATTATCTTTTTTTTTTTTTTTTTAGCTTTAATCGCCATCTGCTGCCACCTAGCAGAAGAGTATTTAATTGTTTGGTAGTGGGTTCAACATTGAGTTCGGCAACAGGCTGTGGCATTTCAAATCAGAAATTCATTGGAGAAAGCGACAAGTTCCTCAATGCCCTTGAACCTGGTGCCTGGTGCATGAATTATGGCTACTCTTTGGTATCGCTGACAAATAGGTTGACAAATATGAATTTTATTTAATACATTTTCTACAAACATTAATATATAGTTTTGTATTTAAGTAAATGGAACCCTAGGATTTAAATGCTGACTTTCTTTCTTGCTGGGATATTCAGGCTTTTGCTTAAGTGATGTGTCTATGACAGTATCTGAAGAGTCACCAAGGAGTGTTACAGGTTGTTAAATATGCTTTGCTCAGCTGCTAACAGCTAACATCATAAAACGAGATATGTAACTGATAATAGAATAGAAAATTAAAATAACTCGACTTTGAGCTTCCTGCAGAAAAAAATTGAAATTTTTGGTCCTTGGTCCATTTCACAAGTTTGTTTTTTCTGTGCCAGTCTCCTGGTGTATAGCATAACCTGTAGCAGTGTTTCCCCACCTTGTTTGAGCAGCATGTATGCTGAATAACATTGATGCCAAAATTTAAGGTCATACATTAGCCTACCAGAAAAAGCCAACTGACAGTTAACAGGGCTTTAAGAGCAGCTGTAAATAATCTGATTTAATTCTGTTGTGCTTTTATAGTTTTATAGCTTTTTTTTATAGTTGTATGATCTTAATATAAACAAAGATTCAAAAGATCAGACAACCACAATGAATGTAAGGAGCCACTATAATGGCCACTTTATCAGTGATAGACAATAGAAAATAGTGACAGATAGACAGATGGCAGATGTGTCTCTATGTGCCTCTTCTTTATATTTTCTGTTAATAGCTGTTCACTGTAGAGGAAATGTGACAAAAGGCAGAGTTCAAATATCCAAGGGTTTTACCTGCTCTGTTGATCATTTGCTATTCTTTTCATCTGCTATTGTCATCTTATCACATATCATAGTGTTGCCACTCCTGATTTAAAAACACAACAAGGAGAATTACATGATAAGTTTTATGTTTTTTCATGATAAGTTTTACGTTATTACGTGAAACTTATCACGTAATTACGTGAAACTTATCACGTAATTACGTGATAAGTAATTATCACGATAAGTAATTACATGATAAGTAATTATCACGTAATTACTTATCTCTTATCTCTCTTCTGAGTACAATACATACACAGGCGTACAATTTCCTACATGTAACCCATTCAAGAGTATGTGTACCAAATCTTCACACAATTCTGTTTTGCTTTTCAAGGCCCATGGTGAGACTCTAGCAGCAGCTATGAAGGGCCTGCAGCTTGACAGAGCTTCACGGAGCCACGGCAACCATTGTTTAGACACCCCTTACCTGTACCTGCATACCTGTGCATTCCATTGTTAAGTTGCTAAACAAAAAGCATCACAATAACGTTCTAACCAGTTACTTTATACTTTAATACAACATTATTAAAATGACTACAGTGTGTTTTGTTTGTTTGTTTGTTTTATTTTGGTGTTGTATGCATCGCTCTGTGTTTCTTTGGTGCTTCTGCCTGTCTGTTGTATGTGTCTGTATTTTGACATTGGTTATAATAGTTGTAATAAAAAAAAGTGAAAACAAGACATTCTTTCAGATAATTTACTTGTTAAGACATTATTTAATTGAGATTACAAGATTGAACCCAGTTATCAGGGTAAGTGTACTGAAGATATATTGATGAATAAAACACTACAGCACTACTGGCGATAAGTGAACACTGCTCATAATCGAGTTCGCTTTGTTCTGAACGTTCACAGCTTAGTTGAAACAACAATAACTGTACAGTCATGTTGACTCACAGAAGGCAATTTAAAGCTTAACAGAACTTAAAATAAGGATTTCAATAAACTTAAAAGTTTGTGGCAGCTGGTTAACTTGTGATTTTAAGTTGAACCAGGGAGATATTTTTAACAGTGCTGTTCCTAAGGCGACTTGTGTTACCACAGCAGGCTGTTGGCTCGGTGCACTTATGGTTGCTGAGTACTGACCCTTAGCTTGTAGCGCTGAGATTGGGAGTTCAGGAGGGCATTTGTGTACTGGTTCTCTGGCATAACGAGCTTTAGGCAGAGTTGCCGAGTAGAGTCGGGCAGGTGTTCTGGTAGGTCATACCCCATAATCATGCCTTTTCCATCAGGCTGCCAGGGACGAAGTCTTTTGTTTTTAATTTCTGCTGCTGAACGGAGACTTGGCATTTCCTCACCAAAACAGGATTTCATTAGATTTTCCCGAGCCTGCCGAAGCGTTTGGATCTCCATTTCCACACAGGCTGGTCCCAAAGCGTACAGCTGGCGCCACAGTGAGGCGTTGAAGTGGTCGTAGAGACGTGCATCCAGGGAATTCCAGGTCCGAACCTTCTCAGTGAGCTCAGACGTCAAGCTCTGCTTTGAGCTTGGGCTGCGCATGTTAAGTTCAAGATAGAGAATGTCGTCCAGATCCCAGGAGAGAAGATGGCGAAGAAGAATAAGTGACTCATCAAAGTACTCAGTAATCATAACAAGGGAGAACGTTTTCTCCACCTCTGCTACAAAGGCATCTGCATATGCCGCATCTGTCGACGCTCGATCTTTTTCTCCCCCCAAATCAAAGGTCAACATGTTGTGTGCACACATAGAGTACTGTTCACTGGGTTGGTAGTAACGCAACGGGTCATCTAAAAATGTCTCCAAGGAGCTTTTGGGGACCTTCCTAAAACTCTGGCTTAGCTGGTTGAAGTATATGAACGAGGACTCAAACATGGAGCCAGGCTCTCGCAGTATTGTGATGTATACTGAGTCCTTCGGCATCAGACGCTGCAGCTCCTTCTTATTAAATCGCAAGTGGCTGGCGATTATGTTTGGTGGCACAGTGTGTTGATGAACAAATTTAGAGTTGAAGAGACTGGGGTAGCAAAACAGGTGGCCACAGTACTCTACAGGCAATGCCACTGTCAAGTTGTGGCGCTCTGCGAAGCGAAACAACAAGTTCTGCATGGTAGAACTGCCTGTTTTGTGTGTCTTTAGGAAGACTATGTTGGTGTGTTTAGGTAAGAGGTTTTGGGGAGGGCTGCTGTGGAAACCATGGCAACCCAGGTCAAAGGTCGTTATCCCACTGAAAGGGAAGAAAATGTAAACCGTAAAACAAAGATGTGCTTGATTTTGTAATTTAGATAGAGAGATAAACCTGATAGATATAGTAAACTAAATATACTGTATATCTGGCATCTGGTATTCTGGACAACAGACAAGAACAAAATGATGTCACAATGGCTTTTTGCAGCTTTACAATTTGCTTATCATAATTAAAATGAAAACATTTTGATGCTCCTTCTACTCTTAACACACACAAGACACGGTGTTTTTGAAATCAGAGTACAGTACGATCTCTATATAAACAAAGATTCAAAAGATCATGAGCACATATACTAAATTAAATGAATCAACAGTAAGTAAATATGAACAATAATGGCCCGTGATAGACAATAGTTACAGATAGACAGGTGACAGCTGTGTTCACTCACCTCTTCCAGAGGTTAAAATGAAGTATCAAAAGGAAAACATTGCAGATTCCAAACAAAACAAAAAATATGTGCTTCTTCTTTATTTTTTCTGTTAACATCGCTGAGGCTGTGGGAGGTAAACAAAATTGAAGAAATGTGACAAAAGTCTAAATGTCCAAGACCTTTTTTTTCCTGTTCTGTTGCTCATTTGCTATCTTTTCATTTGCTTACGCTATTGTACTACAAGTCATAGTGGTGTTTGTGATGTTTGGAGCACACCTAGAGACACACTACTCTGCCTGACACGTCACAGAATCTTCTTCCATGCTTGTTAAACAACATTCCTCTGTCAGCCTCTGTTTTTACACAGACATGATTTATTTTCATTTAATTTATTTAGATTTATTTTAATAAGCACAATGAAATGACGGAAAAACTAGGCGACACTTAGTGTCGTGTGCTGTTTACTAGTAAAGCACACGACTGTTCTCTCTGCACCACTGATCTTTAATCTACCTGTACATTCAGCTGCGGAATGCATTGATTCATTGAGTCTTGATTCTTCTCCTTCTGATTCTTCTCTGTCACAGCGTCTTCACTTCCATGAACACATTATAGAACTTGTTTTCTGATTCAGATCCTTGTCTAAGATCTGGTAACCAACCAGTCTCCTGTTCTGGACTACTAGCCTTTTGTTAGACAGACAGACTAATGGATAGATAGTTAGACAGATAGTGTGGTCACTCACCTGCTCCAGGGACTCAGATGGAGAATCAAAACGGTAACACTGGTCACGGCAAATAAAACAAGTAACATTTGCTTCTTCAGTAAAAGTTTGTTTGGCATCGCTAACCCTGACTGTTTGATCAGAGAGATGAAGGAAAGACAACAGGGAAGAGCTGTCCTCTCTGACAGATCACACTCACTCTGTATGTAAAAGCGGTTTCCCATGTTTGCCTACACTCCCCGGTGTCAGCCACTTGCAAATCTATTTACAGAACACAGAGATCACAGAGGACCTCCCTTGTTTGTGAAAAGAACCTACAGTGAGTCCGTCCTGCCTCGTCAACATTCAATGAAATGACTGTGGCAGCGGCTGAAAACATGCGAAGAGACCACTGACCATGATTCTTCTTGTCATCAATTTAAAGGAGTGTGTTTCCACACCTGAGACTTTCCCAAGGATGTGTGGGATTGTTTCCATTTTTTCTGTTTCAAGTGATTTGAATTGAACTGAATGGGTTGAAATACATTTGTCCGTTGAAATTGATTTATTTTGTTTACATGTTTGCCAAGCCCAGATACTGTGGTAAATCGTGACATAGTTTGTCCTGCCACAGTTTAATTGTTTAATATAATAACATTAAACAAACAATGGTGCTTCAAATGCCCTACAGATGACACAACTTCACCATGTCTTTAGAAATCTCATGGGACTGAACTAGATGCTGATTACCTTAATAACTTTAATTGTTGTGGTAAGATGTCAACACATCAGGAGCAACTGGACTGTCAGGTTTTTGTTTGTAGACGTTTTATTTCTCATCCAAGACACTCCTTTAGGTCTTACGGACGTCTCTGAAATTTCTGGTATTTCTTCTCTGGAATTTCTTCTCACATCTGAAAAAGGGGGTTGTTGGAGAGAACAGGTGGGACGACCATAAACTCTCATCCACCTACACTATTGTCCTGAGTTCTCTCAACCACCAATGCAGACACCAGATCTTTTTTAGTCACTTTTAGTGATGAGAAACCACAAGCAGACAGAAAGACTCAATCAAGTGATTGATTATCAAGATTAATTTATCTCACAAAACTGAGGGTTGACTTAAAAGAAGGAAGTGGCTCTTTAAAATTCCTCAGGAATCCAGAGAGAGAGAATGATGAAACGACTGTTCAGAACTAAACTGAACAGTTTGTTCATCCTCTTGGTACATTTTTAGAGGTCAAATTAAAGACTTTAAATCAAATAAATGTTCCACACCTCTTTGTCTTTGTCACAACAGTGTGCCGACCTCTGGTTTTCTACTGTTATTATTCATCTTTTCACCCACACTCTATAATCTTTTCCTTCTTTTTCTTGCTCTTTTATATCCTTTTTCTCCTTGAAAAAAAGATAAATGTGCCTATGACAGTGGCCCCATTATGCGGTCATGGCTCTATTATTTCCGTGTGTGTGCAGTCCATTTAACTCACATGAATTATAACATTTACATCAGACAAAAAGCTATCATAGAACTAGAACGACGACATATGCTTATCTTTATCTGTCTTCCTGATGATTTATTGGCTCTCATATGGATGTAACTGCAGGTATATTTAATTTAACAGTTTTTTTTTTAAGGAGGCAAAAAACACAGCAACCAAAACAACAGGTTAATCCAGGTCAACACACAGGTGGGAATGGTTCGGCAATTACAGATCAGCACAGAGGGATGTGGGCGTGTCACCTGACAGGAGAAGTGTCACATTGTTTTTAACCAATAAAAGTCCAACCAAAAAAACAAAAAACAAAATTAAATTATGTCTGAACACAGGACACTAAGGAAACTTGAAGTTAAAATCTGTAAAAAAAAAAAAAAGAAAATATTAGTATTTCCGAGCTGTTCTTCAGAAGGCCTGAAGGTATTTTGGTATGTTGGTTTCTCTATGTACACTGTGGCTCAATTAAAACAATCAGGGCTGTTGATGTCAACATTTTTACTTAATTTAGACCCACTTTTACAAAACGAAACAAATAAACAAAAAGAAAAACAAACAAGAAGAGCCATAATACCGTAGAGAAAATGTAGTTTTTATAATGTATAATGTATATTGTTGTATATGTTGTACATATTTGTAAAATATGTGTGGTTGTTAAAGTATTTTCTTATCTAAATGTAAATGTGTTGTCCAACGCTAGCTTTCCACATGTATTTGTCTTTAATAATTGATTAACCGTCACAATATTGTTATCCATCAGTTTTACAAGTGCAGATTGGTTGTGCATGACAGCACATCAAAGATGAACTGTGTGTACAAAAGGGATAATGGCCGTAAAAAACAGTGTTTCCCAACCTTATTTGAGCCATAGCACATTTTCAAAAATTTTAAATACTATATCAAACCACCAAAAAAGGTCCCAAAAAGTATATATATATATATATCGGCACTCCTGATGGTCTCTGACTACACCTTAGCGTTCCATTGGTTGGGAGTCTCTGATATACAGTAGAGGAACTGGTTTATCGTCATTGGTTTACCCATGAAACCCTGTCGGTGGACAAGCCAGAAACCAAGTGCTGGCTTATCTGCACAGTGAAAGGAGCCGAAAGATGCGAACATTAATTCTTGAAAAAACAAGGCCACGTTTATACATTTTAAACGGGGGAAAGTGAAAAATGTCATGGCCAAACATAATCACTGGAATGTAGGCCAGAGAAATGGCTGTGCAATTTGTCTTCATTCCTACACTTCAGTCTTCCTTCACAGGGTCAATGTGGGAGTCCCTGAAAATCTATTTTTAGATTTCACATGAACATGTGGAAGGAAGGAATAATCAATATTAAAGCCTTGGGAGAAGTGGACATGAAAGGACACTTAGCAAAAGCTGCTCCATCATTAGTGGCACCAAAGAAAAATAATTAGTGGAAGTACTTGCAAAATGTAAAGAAAAAAAAAGTACACAGACAGTGTATGATTAGGGACCAGCTGTCAACAGGAGAGCATTAGAAAACTCTCCCACTCTTTAAAAACTTCATGTATACGTCTTTTCATCTCTGCCATTGGATTTTCTAATAAGTAATTTGCCACATAAACCATCACCATGAGATTCGACATTAACGTAAGAGCCGCATGAACCCGGGCAAAGAACTGCATGTGGCTCCCAAGCCGCAGGTTGGCCATGACTGATGTAGACATTTCACAGGTGATCTGTTTGATAAAAAAAAAACAACAACTTTATTTTATACTACTTCTTCAAAGACATGTTTAATAAAATGCACTCTCTGCAATATTTTATTTCTCAAAATATATCAGTCCAACATCAGAATTCAATACAAAAAGTTTTATTTTTACTTTAGTGCAACAGCAGGTTTTTATTACGAGCCTCCGCCCCCACTGTCCTTGCGGGGGTCGAGTAAAGCCCTCGTCGTTCCTGCGAATGAGCACAACAGCAGCTTCTCTTCTGCATGTGCACGCACCATGTCCACAAATTAGTTTCTCTTCTTCGTGAAATGCTGTGAAGCATTCTCAAAGCGTAGGTACTTACCTGCCGTTTCCACAGAGGCCTGGTGCTCACACCGACTACAGCACCGTTAGGATCTGAGCTAAGGCACATCATTCATCGGAACAAAGGAACAAGTTTTAAATCCCTTTTCTGCAGCTGCTGTACCAGAAAAGTAGAGGAGGAAAAGTAGGAACAAACAAAGACATGTTTCTTTATGGTTTTGACAATACACTGCGGAAAGATTTGAAATGAAAACAATTCTCCATGACTGTAGCGTACAGTAAAAAAAAAAAAAAAGTACTTGAAATTCTGCATTGCATTTTCTCTTGGTTTGAACTGAATAGTTAAGGTTTTAAAACGTGCGGTGTAAGACACTGTTGCGAATTAGTGTCAGAAGTGCTTCAGATTTTTCCCTTTTAGTGCAAATCTAGGTTCATACTCTACACGTAGTAAGCTAACGTTTCTGCAGACCGTCAGTAAAATCTGGCCGTTGCCAAACATCAAATTATTTTTGCTACATGAACTGGAACAAGAGTTGGTTCAATTGTAGTTTTCTTAGGTACTTGGCCATCTGTTATGCAGTGCATGTTTTTGGTTTAATACATTTAGCACATGTATTGAGGTACTGAGGTACAGACGTAGATCATTTAGATCTGGGTCATCTGGCTTCTTACCTGCTGCTGGTGTGTTCGCTGTCCTGCAGTTTAATGTTTAAGTTGACCAACAAGTTGCTCTACGCAATTACATTATTCTCCATTAACTTCTAACAGGAACGATTTCTTCTGCAGTTAGGGCGTAAAAACTGTTCTTCAACTGCAGCACAACTAATATTTAACATTTAAAATACCACTTTCACAGAGAACTCCTCTTCCTCGCTGTTCTATGTGATCTAACTCTAATGACTGCAGACCAAAGAAGATGTACCACAACACTAAAAGACCTTCTTGCTAGACGTTGGAGGAACTTCTTTAGTGGTGTATGGAGAAGGTGCGTGGAAGGAGAGTGACAGAAGGTTGGTTGGACCATGCTGTGAACTGCATCTCCATGTCCTAGAAGGCTTTGTGACAACAGCCTCTAGCCACGAAGCCAATGGCATGGAAAGGGCGAAGACGGTTTAACCAGTGGTCGTAGGAGCCGGTCGGCTGGTGTGTGGAATCATGGTGGATGCAGGGGTGTGGGTGTATGCTGATCAGATGACTCTGGTGCACAGGAAGATCGTAGCTAGATGGACATGTAGGAGGGTTGAACCCCACCCAGTCTTGATCACAATGCTTGTTACAAGATAAACCCTATGAGAGGAAGTAGATCAGATCCAGATAATATTCAATACTCCTGAGCTTCCATAACACCTCACAGGCTACAGCTTTCTGAGCCCCCCCCACCCACTCCCAAAAAGATCTGAGGATAAACACGTAAGCTACCGTTATTGAATCATCAAACTCAACCATATCTCCCAGAAACACATTATCGCACTTCTTTACAACCATGAAAAATGTGTCAAGGAACTGTAGAACATGATAAATATTTTTAGTATTTGTGCAGAAATCTTTACAGGATTGTGGACACAGTGACTACTTTTACAACCTGTCACCACTGTCTTTGTTAAACAGCCTTATGATCAGCGCAGGTTAGGTATTTAAAAAGGAAGTCTGGGTAACGTAAATATAGTGGTGACATACTTCAAATTCCTTGGCCGACTAACAGGAAACAAAATCAATGTCTTTATCAAGATCTCTTTTTGACCTTGTAAGTTATTTTTCTATTACTTTTTTGGCTGGTTTTCTGGGCGATTGTCTTGATAACTTTCTTTGGTTTAGCCTTGTTTTGTTTTTGATTTAGTGACTTGGTTTTTCACTTCATGCTTTAGTTGACGCTAATTGCATCCTACAATGGGCGAGCTTCCTGATTTAGTCAAATATGTTTCTAATACTTGATTCCATGGTTTGCAGAAATGCACAATTGGAACATGTGCTCCTGGTGATTTGGTGGCGTGAACTTACCTCTTCAAAGCAATTCTACAGTCTTATCCAAAACTCAGAAAGACCGTGAACCTTTTTCAGTCCAAAAAGCGTGGGCTTCCTTTTCGAAGACTAAGGATAGTACTTGGCTTCAATGGTTTATTTTGCCCATAATCATGTACAAATAAACAAAACCTTTACAGCTTCGTATGGTCACACATTTAGCATTTGTTGGTCCATAAGCACTCCTCGTGACGAAATGAAAACACTGATGTGAGACTCCGACAATCCCCCCTCCCCCTTTTTTAGCATCGGCATCTAAATGTTGCACTGACGTCACAAACGTACCATCCATTCTAACAATTTCATTGCAAATCAAAAGAGTCACATGCAATGGATAAAAAAATTACATTACCTCATGTCACATATAACGTAAGCGAAAAGTTCAATCATTTAGAAATAAGTACTCTTTCAGAGATTTGTCT